CCTGTATATTTAACAAATGACCTTAACAAAATATTATATTTGTATATATCTACAGGTTGTCCCAAAATATTTACGGGGCCTACAAAATATCTATATATCTACAGGGTGCTTCAGTAAAAACTACCAGCCTAGAATAATTCTCTACTATCAATCTATTTTTATTACTTTATCATTCCGCTCCTTTTTCCATTATTCTGTTATTTTTGTCTACCATAATTAATTAATAATATTCTCTAATTATCTATTGATTTTATAGACAAATTGTAAAGCGACATATAACAGTTATATTATGCAGGGTGTCCCAAAATAACGTTACTTCCGGAAAATGACAGGTACCTGAGATCATTTCAAGTAACTTTTTCCTTAGCAAAAATGCGATCCGCAGCTTTGTTTACGAGTTATCAACAAAAAGCGCTGACCAATAAGAGGCACGCTTCGCTGGCCGAGCCACTAAGCCCACGAAACCCAGTTCCGCTCATTGGCTTGACTGCCTCGGGCCAACTAATCTCGCCTCTCATTGGTCAGAGTCTTTCCGTTAATAACTCGTTAACGATGGCTCGGAGGAAATTTTTGTAAAGGAAAAAGTTACTCCAAATGACCTCGAGAAACCCCTCACTACCGTCATTTCCCCAAAATAATATAATTTTGGAATATCCTGCATATTAGGAATAATATAAAACAGAAATATTTGAATCTCGAATTATGCACGCCACTGCGTCTCAGTAGTGAACCAGAGCAGCGATTTGCATGATACCCTAAAGATCCGCGGTCGCGGAATCCCGTGCCGGGACAAGTCTTGGCAAGCGGGAGGCGTCGTAAAATCCGTATCCGACGGTTCTTCGGTGCCCAAGTGTGTCAGAACGCTGGCTCGACCCGGCAGTACACGAGTCCGATCGCTCTGTGTGTGTCTACGTATGTGTGGATGGCACGTGTGTAACCCTGATCGCGGCGTAACCCTGAAGAGTCTAGTTCCCCGGCGCGTTGCGCCTGTCCTAACCGCGCCGCGGCGCGGCGCCGCTCGCGCAAACAGATCCGGAAGAGGTCGGTCCGGGGATTACCGCGATCCAGGATCCTGGGAGCGCCGGAAGTGGTCCGTGGAGCACGCTCGGCTAATTGCCCGACCGCGGGGGAGGATGATCCCGGGGGATCAGCAGGGCTTTAGGCGAACGGCGGGGGCGTTCGTTGCGAGTGCTCCGCGCGCGGCCACCGTTGATCCGGTTGGGACGCGACCTTGGGGCTGGATCGCGTTCGCCTGCAGCACCACCGTGCAGCTCTATCGAACCAGCCGGGCCACGGGCAAGGAGCAGCCTCAATGTCAAGGTCGCCTGTCCGTCTCCGCTGGTCCGACGCCGGTCAAACCTCCGCACGCCGTTCTGGCAACTCGCGGCCAACGTTCGATTTTCGTCGCATCGGTCTATCTGCTAGGATTTATATTGGTTTGGCAGAAAAGTAATTTCAGTATTTCAATGCGAAATAAAACTCCATTTTTTCTGTACAAGAAATGAACTTTATTCGGTCAAATATTTTCCATTCTGTTCGATGACCTTTTGCCGTCTTTCTGGTAACTTCACGATTCCGCGCTCATAAAACTTCTGGTCCTTATCAGTGAAAAATTCATTCAAGTGCGATGTTGAGGTTATCGTTATTATTAAAATTTTTACCATTTAAAAAGTTTTGTAAACTTCGAAATAAATGCTAATCCGATGGTGCAGGATCGGGGTTATACGGAGGATGCGACATCACTCCCCAACCAAGCTCCAATAATTTTGAACGCGTTGCTAAAGATGTGCGAGGTCGCGCATTGAGGTGTTGGAACACGATTCCTTTGCGATTTGCCAATTCTGGCCTTTTCACTTTGATTGCTTCCTCCCATTTCATATGTTGTTGGCAGTAAACATCCGAATCGATCGTTTGTTCGTTTGGAAGCAGCTCAAAATACACAACACCTCTTTTTAGTCCCACCAAATTGACAGCATGATCTTTTTCTGACGCAATTCGGCTTTCGATATGGTTTGTACTGGTTCATCACGCTTGGACCATGACCTTTTTCGATTAATGTTATTGTAAACGATCCATTTTTCATAACCAGTAATAATTCGTTTCAAAAAGGGATCGATTGCGTTACGTTTAAATTGCGTATCGCAAATGCTGATTCGTTCTGTTAAGTGAATTTCTTTCAATTCATGCGGGATCCAATTATCGAGCTTTTTAACAAGTCCAAGACATCTTATGTGATATTCAATTGTTGCGTGCGATGCATTTAACCTTATTGCAATCTCTCGTAAAATTATACGACGATTCGATTCAATTATGGCTTCGATTTTGTCATCGTCAACTTCAGAAGGTCGTTCGGAACGTTGGTCATCTTTGAGTGAAAAATCTTCAGAACGAAATTTTTTCAACCAATTCTGACACGCGTGTTCTGTTAAGCAATCGACGCCATAAACTTCTCATATCTCTTTGCGAGCCTCGGCCGCTTGCTTGCCTTTATGAAAATAAAAACGTAAAATGTGTCGAAAATGTTTATTTTTGCACTACACGTTAAAATTGACAGCAAACTATCAGTTGTAAACAAAACTACACAGACTACAAGACAAAAAAATTATAACCTTAACAATGCAAACATAACGCTATCTCTTGGTGCAAACTGAAGTTAATTTCTTGCCAACCCAATAGTTTCGAATTTGCACTGTTACGTGCTTTCTTTGTTTATTGATCAGGACGCTTGTTTAAAGAGGGCAGGCGCGCGCGTTTGTACTTCGAATGTTCTCTTGGGCGCAGTTCTCTTCAATCGTTGGTCATTGGTCGAACAGTGGATGTCGTCGTGAAGCTAATTTAGCGTGAATTTGAGGAAAATACAGTTGGTCTTCTGCGAGCGAATTGAGAAATTGGAATGGTGAAAGGAGAGGAGCCCGCAGAAGACGAACGTATTTTTGGCAGGCTTTCGAATGAATGTCGCGGATGAAATTTTCAAAGCGGAAATAATTTGATTTTTTTTTAGATAAAACAAGATACTGTTATTTCTTGGGACAAAATTTTTTCAGGCATGTATATCCTTCAAGGTCGCCAGAAGAAAATCGTAGCTTCGTATCTTTCATAGTTTCGAAGACATAAATTCGAACGTGAAGGCAATTTCCGTATAAATCAAGGAAAACTGGAAACTTTTGAGGGTTGTAATTCTTAAATAATTTCGAAATTAGAAAATTGATAACATACCACCGCCTCCCTCCACCTAATTGTATATGGACTACAATATATTTCAATATTATCAAAATCATTGATATCGAGGTACAAAACTGATTTGTTTCACATAGAATGGACATGTATATATTTTTTAATTAATATTCGGTTGGCAAGAAAGTAATTTTGATTTGCACCAATAAATGGCGTTATGTTTGCATTGTCATTCTTTTGTTAAGGTTATAATTTTTTTGTCTTCAGCTTTGGTAGTTGACTCGTTTAGGTTATTATAGAAACAAATTCCGTGTAGTTTTGTCTACAACTGATAGTTTGCTGTTAATTTTAACATAGAGTGCAGAAATGAACATTTTCGACATATTTTGCTTTCTTATTTTCATATAGGCAAGAAAGCGGCGGAGGCTCGCAAAGAGATATGTGAAGTTTATGGCGTCGATTGCTTAACAGAACGCACGTGTCAGAATTGGTTGAAAAAATTTCGTTCTGAAGATTTTTCACTCAAAGATGACCAACGTTCTGGACGATCTTCTGAAGTTGACGATGACAAAATCAAAGCCATAATTGAATCGAATCGTCGTATAATTGTACGGGAGATTGCAATAAGGTTAAATGCATCGCACGCAACAATTGAATATCACATAAGATGTCTTGGACTTGTTAAAAAGTTCGATAATTGGATCCCGCATGAATTGAAAGAAATTCACTTAAGAGAACGAATCAGCATTTGCGATACGCAATTTAAACGTAACGTAATCGATCCCTTTTTGAAACGAATTATTACTGGTGATGAAAAATGGATCGTTTACAATAACATTAATCGAAAAAGGTCATGGTTCAAGCGTGATGAACCAGTACAAACCATATCGAAAGCCGAATTGCGTCAGAAAAAGATCATGCTGTCAATTTGGTGGGACTAAAAAGAGGTGTTGTGTATTTTGAGCTACTTCCAAGCGAACAAACGATCGATTCGGATGTTTACTACCAACAACATATGAAATTGGAGGAAGCAATCAAAGTGAAAAGGCCAGAATTGGCAAATCGCAAAGGAATCGTGTTCCAACACCTCAATGCGCGGCCTCGCACATCTTTAGCAACGCGTTCAAAATTATTGGAGCTTGGTTGGGGAGTGATGTCGCATCCTCCGTATAACCCCGATCCTGCACCATCGGATTAGCATTTATTTCGAAGTTTACAAAACTTTTTAAATGGTAAAAATTTTAATAATAACGATAACCTCAACATCGCACTTGAATGAATTTTTCACTGATAAGGACCAGAAGTTTTATGAGCGCGGAATCATGAAGTTACCAGAAAGACGGCAAAAGGTCATCGAAAAGAATGGAAAATATTTGACCGAATAAAGTTCATTTCTTGTACAGAAAAAATGGAGTTTTATTTCGCATTGAAATACCGAAATTACTTTCCTGCCAACCTAATAATATTGTATGTTAAAGCATTAAACTTTGAAACAAAGCTAAAATAATTTAAATCACAGCAAGCGAATTCCCAGATTACTGTGAATCGGCTGGAACCAGAGCCAACATCTTTTCAATTTCCTTCTTTCTCTCTCCCTCATTCTCTCTCTCTCTCTCTCTCTCTCTCTCTCTCTCTCTTTGCCTCACTCCTACGTCCCGCGCTGTTTCTCTATCACTCTATTTTTCACTCTTTTTCTCTCTCTCCCCTTTCCCCTCTTCCTCTCTTAGACTCTCTCTCTCTCTTTTTCCCTCTATCTTTCTCTCCCTCGTTCGCCCACTCACTATCGTCCCTTTTTGCACGGGGGACGCGTTGCGATACGCGATTACCAGCCAGGGTTGTATCCACCGCAAAACTGCGATACCGGAGAATTGATTGCGGTTATGTGCGCGCGGTCCCACTCGATTTGTTCCTGCCGGGAGCGTGCTTCTTAATACAGGTCAATCCAACGACCGTGGTCCAGCCGTTTGATTGCGATTAATTATTCAAAGAGCGGTGTTCGGGGAATTCTAACTCTCGGAAACCTCGTCCAGGATCAAGTAGCGCCGATCGAACAGCATCAATTTGCCGTATCAAAGTGGGCAAACGGCCGCCGCTTGTTCCATTTACGTGCAAGGACAACAGTGAAAGCAATTTCGAAAAAATATCCTCCACGATCGTTCGGTGCTCACATGAATTCTCGCCACTGTATTTGCCGGGTCAGGCATTGACATTTCGCGGACACGATGGTTCGTGTGTGTGCTTAATGTTCGACCACATGTGTATTTGTTGCGAGTTTTTCGCGGTGCTCAAAACGGTAGAGATGAAATTATGGGAACGGCAGGAACGATGGAAATAATATCTTGATAATGGCCAGGTGACCAATGACCTCGCCGAAGTCAATGTTTTCCTACTGGATGGATCCCAGATCGACGAGGAATATTTTTATACTCTGGAGGCGCAGACTACGTTGATCGTGCAGAAACCTGGGGAGAAGGTTCTAAGCGGTGAGTATAATTCACTGTTATTAGAAGAATGCAAGTTTTTATGCATGTTAAAATTGTCGTTCCGACTTTTCTCAGTATCAATTATTATATCGATGCAAAATTGTGGTCATATCAAGATGAGTCGGAAGATTTGTAGGAGGAACGTGTAGAATTCGGGAGAGCAAGGAGAGAATACAAAACCTCAGGGGAGACAGGGAGAGCTGCGGAGAGACGCGTAAAACTAGGGAGAGCCAATTAGAGTATGAAAATCTCAGGAAGGGCCACGGAGAAACCAGAAATCTTAGGGAGAGCCAGGAAGAGCCGCGGAGAGACACATAGCGTTAGGCAGAGCCAGGAGGAGTCTGAAAATATCAGGGAGAGCCAGGGAGAGGCTGAAAAACTTAGGGAGAGCCAATCAGAGACCAAAAATCTTGGGGAGAGCCAGGGAGAGACCAGGAATCTTGAGGAGAGCCAGGGAGAGCCGCGGAGATACACGTAGCGTTAGGAAGAGCCAGAAAGAGTCTGAACATCTCAGGGAGAGCCACGGAGAGGTTGAAAAACTTAGGGAGAGTCAGGGAGAGACCAAACATCTTGGGGAGAGCCAGGGAGAGACCGGGAATCTTGAGGAGAGCCAGGGAGAGCCGCGGAGAGACACGTAGCGTTAGGAAGAGCCAGAAAGAGTCTGAACATCTCAGGGAGAGCCACGGAGAGGTTGAAAAACTTAGGGAGAGTCAGGGAGAGACCAAACATCTTGGGGAGAGCCAGGGAGAGACCGGGAATCTTGAGGAGAGCCAGGGAGAGCCGCGGAGATACACGTAGCGTTAGGAAGAGCCAGAAAGAGTCTGAACATCTCAGGGAGAGCCACGGAGAGGTTGAAAAACTTAGGGAGAGTCAGGGAGAGACCAAACATCTTGGGGAGAGCCAGGGAGAGACCGGGAATCTTGGGGAGAGCCAGGGAGAGCCGCGGAGAGACACGTAGCGTTAGGAAGAGCCAGAAAGAGTCTGAAAATCTCAGGGAGAGCCAGGGAGAGGTTGAAAAACTTAGGGAGAGTCAGGGAGAGACCAAACATCTTGGGGAGAGCCAGGGAGAGACCGGGAATCTTGGGGAGAGCCAGGGAGAGCCGCGGAGAGACACGTAGCGTTAGGAAGAGCCAGAAAGAGTCTGAAAATCTCAGGGAGAGCCAGGGAGAGGTTGAAAAACTTAGGGAGAGTCAGGGAGAGACCAAACATCTTGGGGAGAGCCAGGGAGAGACCGGGAATCTTGGGGAGAGCCAGGGAGAGCCGCGGAGAGACACGTAGCGTTAGGAAGAGCCAGAAAGAGTCTGAAAATCTCAGGGAGAGCCAGGGAGAGGTTGAAAAACTTAGGGAGAGTCAGGGAGAGACCAAACATCTTGGGGAGAGCCAGGGAGAGACCGGGAATCTTGGGGAGAGCCAGGGAGAGCCGCGGAGAGACACGTAGCGTTAGGAAGAGCCAGAAAGAGTCTGAAAATCTCAGGGAGAGCCAGGGAGAGGTTGAAAAACTTAGGGAGAGTCAGGGAGAGACCAAACATCTTGGGGAGAGCCAGGGAGAGACCGGGAATCTTGGGGAGAGCCAGGGAGAGCCGCGGAGAGACACGTAGCGTTAGGAAGAGCCAGAAAGAGTCTGAAAATCTCAGGGAGAGCCAGGGAGAGGTTGAAAAACTTAGGGAGAGTCAGGGAGAGACCAAACATCTTGGGGAGAGCCAGGGAGAGACCGGGAATCTTGGGGAGAGCCAGGGAGAGCCGCGGAGAGACACGTAGCGTTAGGAAGAGCCAGAAAGAGTCTGAAAATCTCAGGGAGAGCCAGGGAGAGGTTGAAAAACTTAGGGAGAGCCAGGGAGAGACCAAAAATCTTGGGGAGAGCCAGGGAGAGACCAGGAATCTTGAGGAGAGCCAGGGAGAGCCGCGGAGAGACACGTAGCGTTAGGAAGAGCCAGAAAGAGTCTGAAAATCTCAGGGAGAGCCAGGGAGAGGTTGAAAAACTTAGGGAGAGTCAGGGAGAGACCAAACATCTTGGGGAGAGCCAGGGAGAGACCGGGAATCTTGAGGAGAGCCAGGGAGAGCCGCGGAGAGACACGTAGCGTTAGGAAGAGCCAGAAAGAGTCTGAAAATCTCAGGGAGAGCCAGGGAGAGGTTGAAAAACTTAGGGAGAGTCAGGGAGAGACCAAACATCTTGGGGAGAGCCAGGGAGAGACCGGGAATCTTGGGGAGAGCCAGGGAGAGCCGCGGAGAGACACGTAGCGTTAGGAAGAGCCAGAAAGAGTCTGAAAATCTCAGGGAGAGCCAGGGAGAGGTTGAAAAACTTAGGGAGAGCCAGGGAGAGACCAAAAATCTTGGGGAGAGCCAGGGAGAGACCAGGAATCTTGAGGAGAGCCAGGGAGAGCCGCGGAGAGACACGTAGCGTTAGGAAGAGCCAGAAAGAGTCTGAAAATCTCAGGGAGAGCCAGGGAGAGGTTGAAAAACTTAGGGAGAGCCAGGGAGAGACCAAAAATCTTGGGGAGAGCCAGGGAGAGACCAGGAATCTTGAGGAGAGCCAGGGAGAGCCGCGGAGAGACACGTAGCGTTAGGAAGAGCCAGAAAGAGTCTGAAAATCTCAGGGAGAGCCAGGGAGAGGTTGAAAAACTTAGGGAGAGCCAGGGAGAGACCAAAAATCTTGGGGAGAGCCAGGGAGAGACCAGGAATCTTGAGGAGAGCCAGGGAGAGCCGCGGAGAGACACGTAGCGTTAGGAAGAGCCAGAAAGAGTCTGAAAATCTCAGGGAGAGCCAGGGAGAGGTTGAAAAACTTAGGGAGAGCCAGGGAGAGACCAAAAATCTTGGGGAGAGCCAGGGAGAGACCAGGAATCTTGAGGAGAGCCAGGGAGAGCCGCGGAGAGACACGTAGCGTTAGGAAGAGCCAGAAAGAGTCTGAAAATCTCAGGGAGAGCCAGGGAGAGGTTGAAAAACTTAGGGAGAGTCAGGGAGAGACCAAACATCTTGGGGAGAGCCAGGGAGAGACCGGGAATCTTGGGGAGAGCCAGGGAGAGCCGCGGAGAGACACGTAGCGTTAGGAAGAGCCAGAAAGAGTCTGAAAATCTCAGGGAGAGCCAGGGAGAGGTTGAAAAACTTAGGGAGAGCCAGGGAGAGACCAAAAATCTTGGGGAGAGCCAGGGAGAGACCAGGAATCTTGAGGAGAGCCAGGGAGAGCCGCGGAGAGACACGTAGCGTTAGGAAGAGCCAGAAAGAGTCTGAAAATCTCAGGGAGAGCCAGGGAGAGGTTGAAAAACTTAGGGAGAGTCAGGGAGAGACCAAACATCTTGGGGAGAGCCAGGGAGAGACCGGGAATCTTGGGGAGAGCCAGGGAGAGCCGCGGAGAGACACGTAGCGTTAGGAAGAGCCAGAAAGAGTCTGAAAATCTCAGGGAGAGCCAGGGAGAGGTTGAAAAACTTAGGGAGAGTCAGGGAGAGACCAAACATCTTGGGGAGAGCCAGGGAGAGACCGGGAATCTTGGGGAGAGCCAGGGAGAGCCGCGGAGAGACACGTAGCGTTAGGAAGAGCCAGAAAGAGTCTGAAAATCTCAGGGAGAGCCAGGGAGAGGTTGAAAAACTTAGGGAGAGTCAGGGAGAGACCAAACATCTTGGGGAGAGCCAGGGAGAGACCGGGAATCTTGGGGAGAGCCAGGGAGAGCCGCGGAGAGACACGTAGCGTTAGGAAGAGCCAGAAAGAGTCTGAAAATCTCAGGGAGAGCCAGGGAGAGGTTGAAAAACTTAGGGAGAGTCAGGGAGAGACCAAACATCTTGGGGAGAGCCAGGGAGAGACCGGGAATCTTGGGGAGAGCCAGGGAGAGCCGCGGAGAGACACGTAGCGTTAGGAAGAGCCAGAAAGAGTCTGAAAATCTCAGGGAGAGCCAGGGAGAGGTTGAAAAACTTAGGGAGAGTCAGGGAGAGACCAAACATCTTGGGGAGAGCCAGGGAGAGACCGGGAATCTTGGGGAGAGCCAGGGAGAGCCGCGGAGAGACACGTAGCGTTAGGAAGAGCCAGAAAGAGTCTGAAAATCTCAGGGAGAGCCAGGGAGAGGTTGAAAAACTTAGGGAGAGTCAGGGAGAGACCAAACATCTTGGGGAGAGCCAGGGAGAGACCGGGAATCTTGGGGAGAGCCAGGGAGAGCCGCGGAGAGACACGTAGCGTTAGGAAGAGCCAGAAAGAGTCTGAAAATCTCAGGGAGAGCCAGGGAGAGGTTGAAAAACTTAGGGAGAGTCAGGGAGAGACCAAACATCTTGGGGAGAGCCAGGGAGAGACCGGGAATCTTGGGGAGAGCCAGGGAGAGCCGCGGAGAGACACGTAGCGTTAGGAAGAGCCAGAAAGAGTCTGAAAATCTCAGGGAGAGCCAGGGAGAGGTTGAAAAACTTAGGGAGAGCCAGGGAGAGACCAAAAATCTTGGGGAGAGCCAGGGAGAGACCAGGAATCTTGAGGAGAGCCAGGGAGAGCCGCGGAGAGACACGTAGCGTTAGGAAGAGCCAGAAAGAGTCTGAAAATCTCAGGGAGAGCCAGGGAGAGGTTGAAAAACTTAGGGAGAGTCAGGGAGAGACCAAACATCTTGGGGAGAGCCAGGGAGAGACCGGGAATCTTGGGGAGAGCCAGGGAGAGCCGCGGAGAGACACGTAGCGTTAGGAAGAGCCAGAAAGAGTCTGAAAATCTCAGGGAGAGCCATGGAGAGGCTGAAAATCTCAGGGAGAGCCAGAGAGAGGCAAAAAAACTTAGAGAGGGCCAGGGAGAGACAAAAAATCTTGGGGAGAGCCAGGGAGAGACCGGGAATCTTGGGGAGAGCCAGGGAGAGCCGCGGAGAGACACGTAGCGTTAGGAAGAGCCAGAAAGAGTCTGAAAATCTCAGGGAGAGCCAGGGAGAGGCTGAAAAACTTAGGGAGAGCCAGGGAGAGACCAAAAATCTTGGGGAGAGCCGCGAAGAGACACGTAGCGTTAAGAAGAGCCAGAAAGAGTCTGAAAATCTGAGGGAGAACCAGGGAGAGGTTGAAAAACTTAGGAAGAGTCAGGGAGAGACCAAACATCTTGGGGAGAGCCAGGGAGAGACCAAACATCTTGGGGAGAGCCAGGGAGAGACCGGGAATCTTGGGGAGAGCCAGGGAGAGCTGCGGAGAGACACGTAGCGTTAGGAAGAGCCAGAAAGAGTCTGAAAATCTCAGGGAGAGCCAGGGAGAGGTTGAAAAACTTAGGGAGAGCCAGGGAGAGACCAAAAATCTTGGGGAGAGCCAGGGAGAGACACGTAGCGTTAGGAAGAGCCAGGAAGTGTCTGAAAATCTCAGGGAGAGCCAGGGAGAGGCAAATAATCTTAGAGAGAGTCAGGGAGAGACCAAAAATCTTGGGGACAGCCAGGGAGAGATCGGGAGTCTTGTGGAGAGCCAGGGAGAGCCGCGGGGAGACACGTAGCGTCAGGAAGAGCCAGGAAGAACCTGGAAATCTCTGGGAGAGGCAGGAGGAGACCAAAAACTTTGGGAGAGCTAGGGAGAGACAGGAAGAGTCTGAAAATCACAGGGAGAGCTAGGGAGAGCAGTAGAGGGACGTATAGCGTTAGGGAGAGCCAGGGAGAGTTTCAGAAACTTAGGAAGAGTCAGAGAGATACGGGAAGTTTTAGGGAGAACCAGGGACAGTCGCGGAGGGACGTGTAGCGCTAGGGAGATCTAGGGTGAGTTCGAAAATCTGAGAGAGGGCTAGTAACAGTCTGAAAATCCCCGAGAGAGCTAGGGAGAGACCAAAAAACTTTGAGAGAACCAGGGAGAGATGCACAGAAACGTATCACGTTAGGGACAGTCAGGGAGAATCCGAAAATCTTAGGATGAATCAGGAAGAGACCAAAAATCTTGGGGAGTGCCAGAGAGAGAGGGAGAGAGAGCTGGAATCTTAGGGAGAGCCAGGAAGAGACAGAAAAACTTAGGGTGAGCCGCAAAGAGACGTGCAGCGTTAGGGAGAGCCAGGGAAAGACTGAAAAACTTAGGGAGAGCCAAGAAGAGCCGCGGAGGGACGTGTAGCGTTAGGGAGTGCCAGGGAGAGCTAGAGAAAGACCGCAAATTTTAGGCAGTGCCAGGAAGAGACCGGAAATCTTAGGAAAGCCAAGAGAGCTGTAGAGAGACACGTAGCGTTAGGAAGAGCCAGGGAGAGTCCGAAAATCTTAGAGAGAGCCAAAGAGAGACCAAAAATTTTAAGGAGAGACAGGGAGGGATCGGAAATCTTAGGGAGACCCCGGGTAAGACTGGACATTTTGAGGAGAGCCAGGGAGAGCCGCGGTGAGATGCGTGGCGTTAGGGAGATCCAGGGATGGTCGTGATGGAACGCACAGAGTTGGGGAGAGCCAGGAAGTGGCATGTTGGGGCTGGAAGAAATAGGGAGAAAGAAGCGGAGATAAAGACAATGTATCTGAGAGCTTGATAGTTCAAGTTCCAGCACAGTTTCTCAAGATCCGACGTTTGCTTACAGACGCGGACCTTCTTTACGACACCTTGAGGCGCGTCAACATCGATTTCCTGACTGCTGGAGATAAGGCGTCCGAGTTCCTCACGGAGAACCTTAAGGCAAAGGTCGCGATTCTGAATAATGCGCTGAATAAGGATGACTCGAAGATCGTGTTCAGCAGCAGGGACGAACATCCGGAGTGGTTTTTTGGTTTGGAGACGAACTACACCACCAAGGTGAGTTTATCATAGTGTGAAAAATTGTCCAAGTAAAACAATTATTGATGCGAGGGGTCAATTGTTATGATAAACAAAACACTGCTTTTCTAACAAAGAGATATATTTCGCGATTTTAAAATCACTCAGGATCACTTTAGGATCATTATTCTGATCAAAAATATTTTGCAGAATTTTTACGTTGCCTTTAAAAGCTGGTGTTGGATCTATGTTCGATCTTACGCGGGCTGAAATGCTCGAAATGCCGGGAAATTTGGTCGTCTAATATTTTATAACTTCGGCATCGTGAATAAAAACTAGTCGGCCGTGGACAAATCGGTTGAATAGGGCCGGACGGTTCAACGCCGCTGCATTTCCTCGAGCCAGAAATGCCGGAACAATCGCGGCGACGTGACACGCTGACATCCTTTGCTCTGTGTGGGTCTCGCTGTCACGCGAAATACGCGGCGAGCCTGATAAGCACGCTGTGCGAACCGTGACAGAAGGCATGCAGTGTGTCACCAGTGTTATCGTCGGGCTGGGGATCTTTGTGCAAACTCGCGCTTCTCAGCTGCGACCGATAAAACCGGAACAGAATGCTTTAATCGACCGTGGTATACTTAATCTTACTGACAATTTACATTAGATTTTACGGCGACGTTAGATTCGTATTTCGACCTGGTTCGTTCACTGTTATTTAGGCTTCTTTTTATTTATTATACTGATATCGTTTAGCAGCTACGATATTTTTTAAAAATCAACTACCAATCTGCAGATTTTCATGCAGAATAGGAATTGGCTAAATTCATTCTTTGACTTTAATTAAAAATTAAAATTAAATTTAAATTAGATTTTAAAATTAATTTTTTTTGTTTTTATTTGTTGATAATAGTATTTTATTAATTTATTCCATAACGCATTAAGATACTACATCGATCTGTATTTTATTTCATAATTATTTATAATTATTGTACTATACATAAAATATTTATAATTACCGAATCTTCATTTTCAATTATGCACCAACTTCGCACTGATACACAAATTTCTAAACTAATTTCGAACAACATTTCGACACAAATTGGACGTTTAAATCAGGCGTTAATTAATTCAGCAATCTCTTCCGGCATAATTAATCCGCGGAGAATCTCCAAGCTGCATATCAACGAAGAAATGCAATTAAAACGTCGAATCACAATTTTTATTAGCTCCTTCGCAAAAAGTTACGAGGTCGTACGGAATAATAATAAGGGGCGCGTAAGGGTCGCACCCGTGCGAAGGGGTGAAATTAAAATAAACCTGGTCCTGGGTGTCAATCGAACGCCGTTCCGGGCAGGCGATTAAATGTCATCGAAATCGTGTCGAAGCGTCCTGAATGGAAAAGAAAGTTCCAACGAATTACCGGCGGCTCGATTGATCCACGAACTTACGGTAGACACGACGCAAGGCGCCGAGAGGATCGGCGTGAACGCGATCGCGCGCTGAGACACCGATAACGGACTAATTAATTATTCCGTGGCGCCCTTAGACCCCGTGGGGTCGAGATTCCCCGGTGAAACTTGACGCGGGATAAATGGCAACCCGGCGAGATTAAAGTGGAGGCGGTCTAACGTTAATTAGCCCGAGCAGTATTGGACGACGCCGGACAGATTCGGCCTCATTAAACCGCGCTATACTTCAGTTAGAATAGCTAGGCTCCGCCGACCCGCTTGACACTGTGAATGCTGCGCCGCTCGCGTGCGGCTGACGCAATCAAGAATGAATCTGCTCGCGAACATCGGGCCGGTTTTATATTCAGACACCACGCGACAATGTCGGTGTTGTTTTAACCTTAAAGTGCTGGAGATACCTTAAAGTACAGTTTCGTTTAGGACAAAATAACAAAATATCAAACGACCTCCATAATTCTAGCTTAAAGCATTCCAAAGATCAATTGTTTTACTAGAAGAGTGCATAGTAACAATGAGTTTACTTGCTTTATTTTTTTTTAATTTTTTGAAGAAATGCATTTTATTCCTGAGATCGTTTGAAGTAACTTTTTCCTTTGCAAAAATTTTCTGCGAGGCATAGTTAACGAGCTATTAACGAAAAGACACCGACCAATGAGAGGCGAGATCAGCTGGTCGGGCGAGCCAATCGGCGGAACTGGGCTTCGACCGCTCGTTGGCTCGGCCGCCCAGCCGGGCTCGCCTCTCAATGGCATCAGGAAACTCTCATTTCCCGATTTTGAGTAACTTTTGGGACAGCTTGTAACAACTAGACCGCGGATTTGATTAATTTATGAGAAAACTCGGAAAATCAAATGCAAAACCACATCCGAGGAGTTTGAAAATACTATTGCATTAATATCGATATTATTAAAATAATTAAGCAATGAAATTAATGTCTACGTGGCTTCTGTGTCTTGTAATTAATGCAAGCAATTTTTACTTTGCATGTACTTTACATATTTTTGCTTTACACCGCGCTCTAATAATAACGTGACCTGTTATTATTTCTATCACAAATGCTGAGAAGCTGTTAATAAGGCGCCCGATGGCCTTGGTGAGTGAGGGCCTGCAGGAAATTAATCGACGCATGTCCTTTACTTACTGGGAGTAACTTAATCATAACACTTCCCCGAGATCTTGGATGGCATTCTCTTAGCCAACGTTTCAATAACGTCGTCGTTAGATTACGCAAACTCCAGCAACGTGCTCGAGTAATCGCGGCTTGCCTCGGCTAATATTTTTGGTTAGGATTAGAGTCCTCGCGGGACGACACCACGGCGGAATACAGAAACCATAATTTCGATCGGAGCTGTTCCACTGATCTCGCGTGTGCTGTTTCATTGTTTTCTATTTTCGACTTCACTTTCCATGGCGACAAGTGTTTTTGTGTTTTGAAGTTGGAATTAACTTTTGGTTAGATCTAAGTTGGATTTAGGTTAGGTTTTGATTGGGTCCAGTTACAAATTATTGCGGATTTATTAGTTATAAGAATTAAATTCAAGAACATCTCAGCGAGTGAAGTGTCCCCATCTTTATATAATTAGTTAATACATTTTGCAAGCTATAATTATCTTGCATTTTTCATTTTCCATTTCTCATTTTTGATTTTTCGTTCTTCATTTTTCATTTTTCTTTTTTCCTTTTTCTTTCTTTATTTCTCATATTTCATTTTTCATATAATCATTTTTATTTTCTATTTTTCAGTTCTCGTTTTTCATTTTTCATTTTTCACTTTTCATTTTTCATTTTTCATTTATCATTTTTTATTTCTCATTTCTCATTTTTCGTTTTTCTTTCCTCACTTTTCACTTTCCACTTTTCACTCCATTTCTCGTTTTCCATTTTCCATTTTGTTTTTTCATTCAGCTCTTTCTATTTTGCATTTTGCACTCGTCTTTTCGCATTTTTCATTTTGCATCCTGCACTTCTCTCTACGCATATCACATTATACATTCTGCACTTCTCATTTCCGACTTTTTATTTTCTACTCGCATTTTATCCTTTACACCTGGCATTTCAATTTTGCATTTTATATTTTGCATTTGAATTTTACACTTTGGATTTGCATGTTGCATTTTATATTTCGTATTTGCATTTTGCATTTTAAAGGTATGCCGTTTAATTATCGAAGCATCAGCCCAACCGTACTTCTGCTCTATAACCTATAAGCTTTTATGCAGTCTGCTTCGCCAACGAAATTATTACACAACCATAATCTCGTCGCTTTATAGAACCACCGAACAACCGTGTTACCTTCCCTAATTACGAAACGTTGTACTCGTTCGAATTCCTCGAATTTAAGCGAGCATTACTGCACGCTTCGCTCTTGGAACGTCAATACAGGGTGTTCCAAAATTATTGTACGAGCAAAAAATGAGGGATTCCTGAGGTCATTTGAAGTAACTTTTTCCTTTGCAATAATTTTCTCCATGGCGTCATTAACGAGTTATTAACGAAAAAGTCTGACCAATGAGTGGCAAGCTCGGCTGGCGCTGGGCGACCGAGCCAACGCGCGCACGAAGCCCAGTTCCGCTCATTGGCTCGGCCGCCTTGCGTCAACTAATCTCGCTTCTCATTGGTGAGTGTCTTTTCGTTAATAACTCGTTAACGATGGCTTGGAGAAAATTTTTGTAAAGGAAAAAGTTGCTTCAAATGACCTCAGGAACCCCTCATTTCTCGCTTGTACAATAAATTATATATTATTATATAAAAATATATATATTATATATTATGTTATTATAAATAATATACAGTAAATTAGTATACACAAAAAACCTATAACTCCAGTCTTCGATCTCGAAAAGCCCTTACTCGAACGCACCGAGCCTAACGGCAGATTATTTTCCTTTCGACGAGAGTATTTTCAGGAAAACATTGTGTGGCATAGATCAGGGAAGATTGTGTGCCATAACTTTCATCCCGGTTTATCAGCGGAGGGTCTTACGCACGATGGTCGAAAAATGATGGATGCGGCTGAGATATTCCTCGATCATGGTAATCCTTCCATCTCCATCAGGAAATCCCTGTTTTCCGCGGGTCCTTCGTCTGGTCTTCCGTTCGATATATCTCTGGCCCTAATACCAAACATCCTCGTCCCTAAGGAACGGATCAGCTTGGTGGCTTTGCCGGTGACATACGCGGCCTGCCTTCCCACGTTCGACCCTCTTTCGTTCTTACGATCATCGTCCGGATCAGAGCGACTGCCGCCACCAGGCAGGAAAAATTTCCACTCGAATATTCCCGGATCCGAAATTGGTAAACGTCGCGCGATGTTTACCGTCTACTAAAATGCGCAATAATTGTATTTTGGTAAACAAGCTTTTTTGGTAAACCAACCGCTATTTTGCGATGGTGCAATATCTCAAAAAAATTGATCGAAATTTCATCATCCTATATATGATTTTTATAGAAATCGGTATTCTTGTATTTTTATGCTAAATTTGAGCGTGTTGTGAAAAGTGCAAAATTCAAAGTGGGAAAACTGATATATCGTCTTTAATATATTTTTTGTTTGCACTCCAAATCAAAAGATATACTATGACAAGCATACTATTGTTGTATTTCTTCGGGTTCACAAATCACAATTATTATTATTGTTACGTTTTTTAAATCTGATTTATTCGCGACAAAGTCACGCGCCATACTAATTTAATTGTATCCTTGATATATCGTATAAAATTCGCTATTGTATATCGGGTGTCGTAGAACTGACGTTACTCCTGACAAGAGGTGATTCCTCAGGTGATTCGAAGCAACTTTCTCCTTTGCGAAAATTTTCTACGAGGCACCGTTAACGAGTTATCAACGAAAAACCCGGACCAATCAGAGAGCGAGCACGGCTCACGCGTCAGCAAGCGCGCCGCGACAATGGCGGCGAGGGCGGAGCACGCCGGCCGCACTCGTTCTCTGATTGGCCCGCGTTTTTCGACAATAACTCGTAAACGAGGAGACGTAGGAAATTTTCGCAAAGGAAAAAATTGCTTCGAATCGCCTCAGGAATCACCTCGTCACCCTCGTGACATCAGATCCAGGACACCCCGTTCACTGTGCTCACAACTCCAGGAGAAGATTATGCAGATATTCAGAGGGCGATATCCACTCTGACATGATCGTTGCTCCACAGGAGGCGTACATGCACCGCAGATGTCAGGACAGGATACGAGGGTACCTGTACAAGACGATCGATCAGATCAAATCGTCGGAGACGTTCGCGAACGACCATCGAGCGAGGAAGCAGCTACTGTACGCCATAACGTTCTTCAAGATGCAGCTGAAGCAGGACCACTACTTCGGCCACTATTTCGATCGGACGCGAGCGGCGATCGAGTCAGCTGGCAACGTCGACGAAAGAGACTCCGCTACTTGCTACGATCACTGTCCCTGCCGGTTGAGCCAGCTCGAGGACAGTGCGTACTTCCGGCTGTTCGGGACGACGGACGCGTCCTGCGTGGACGGCGCCGCCAAGAAGAAGGCCAAGCTGAACTCGAGGTCCAAGGAGGAGGAGGCTCAGGATGACTGTCCGTACGTGATCAGGACGAAGGAGAGGCAACCGTGCGTCGCCATATGCGATCGCAAAGGCGAGTTCAGGTGCAGCGGCGTCTGGAACGCCGACATCTGTGCCTACGGGGATAGACACAGGATTAACCCCTATAGGTCCAGGGAGGAGCTCGTTCTGTTCTCTACATGGAACTTCGACCACAAGTAAGAATGCTTCTCAGAGACTTGCAAGGCCTTTGAAATTGTTGATCTTCTTCCGCTTGTCAGCGGTAGCTGAAGTGCTAAAGTCACTATTTAATACAAAGGAGGCACTTGGCTGAAGACCAAATACCAGTAATTGTTTAGATTAAATTTTCAAAATACAATAATTTTCCAACTTACATTTCATTATTGAAAACAGTTATTTTTTTGTGTGAAAACCGCATGTACAAAGACCACAGTAAACATATCAGGTTGAAAGCTCCATTTTTGTTCGTGTGAGTTTAATTTTAACGACATAGGAAAGTTTTCTGTCTACCATACCCAGTCCGTGGATTTCTGTGCAAAATAAAAATTGCATAAGTTGATCTGATAAAAGAGTCTTTCCTGTTCTAATGACTTGTGTTACATAACGTGAAGGTATTCTAAAATTCTTTCAATGTCTCTGTAGCTTCGTATTTGACCTAATCATTTTTGTCAAAACTGTATAAAACCTGCAGTCTAATCATAGAATTTGCCTGCTCGAACTAGGAATTGTCTCACTTTCACACCTTTCCACGTTATAAAAATCAAGTAGAATGTTCAAAGTGAATTTGTTTTGTTCACCCTGTATGACTGCGTCAAAAACACACACACACACATTTCATTTTGCAATAAAGTTAAAGTTAAAGTTTTCTTTAGGGGACCAAAATTTATCGACTTTGCGTGGTATATTTTCGTAGATGTTAACGAGGAAACACAGAAAATGCAAGTTTCAAAGTGCGGAACTCATTGGTTCAATCGTTATACGTATCCAAAGCTGGCGAATTTTCGGCGTTTTTGACAGGTAAGCGCACCGCTACGTTGATCGTTTCCAAATGTCGCCCAATGAGCGGTGTCGAGAGCCGCCGCTATATTGTTACGCACTCAGCCTAGAATCGGTAATGGGCGACGCGTTGATCAACAAGTGACGCCACTAGATGGCGGCACGTGTAACCTAGAACCACAAAATTCTAGCACGTTGCAAATTTAATTGCTTCTAATTTATGATTATTTGAAAGAAATAATTCAATATTGGATTCGGAAACCAGCTATCGTAATATGACTAAAAAAATGTATGGTCCCATTTTAAAAAATCAAGTTGACCTTGAAATATCATTCACCATTATGTCAATAAAAAAATTATTGATACTACCTAAAACATCTTTTTATACTGAACACTTTTTGTATAAACATTATTTTCGTAGCTTCTTAGTTAGGCGTAACACTCTGTATAATTCTGTATATTTCAAATGCTGCGCGTTAGGATTGTCATCCGAAAATGGTCGATTTTCCATGTCCGTACTGCCATCTAGCCATGCCGCCGCCCACTGAATTACGTCTGTGAATTAATTATGTACCAATATCGCGGCGTGCTAATCTCTCAAAAACGCTGAAAATTCGTCAACTTCGGATACGTTTAACTTTTGAACCAACGAGTTCCGCACATTGGCGCTCGCATTTTCGGCGTTTTCTCGTCAATCTCTACGGGAATGTACCATAAAAAGCCGACAAATTTTGGTCCCCTAAAGAAAATTTTTCGATTTTCGAAGCTGTGAAGAGTCTACAGATGAACGAATTTTCAGGATCGAGAGGTCAAGGACCCTGGTGCCGCAACTGTTGCAGCTGTTGTCGCAGGGAGTGGCGAAAGATGAGGACATTCTCGAGCTTTACGACAATCTGTTCACGGCAAAGAATCTGAGGCTGGTGCACATCGTGTGCCACGACAAAGGCGCGCACAAATGAACGTTTCCGGTGAGAGGGAACCGTCGCCGGAACACAATTCCCCATAATGGGAATCTACCTCCGCGTTTGACACGCAGAACGATTGCGTATTATGTGAACGAATGGGCTGGAAACCGGTTTCGTGCGACCAAAACTGTTTCAGCGCTATTTTAAGATTCAAGATTACGGTGCTGCAGAATATTATGAAACCAAAACTGTGCGTTAATACTTAACGATTTGCAGTCGAGTGAAGAAATACGAGAAATGTGTCAGATCCGTCTTCGCAGGAGTGAGGATGGGTGCCGCATGCGCCGGGAGTCAGACGGCGGTTCTGTGACGTTATCCCCACTCCTCCAAAGCCAGATCTGGCTTAGTTCTCTGCGAACACCGGCTGCGACCCTAAGGCACCACTAAAAGTTGTCATATCACGTTCCAAAATAATTTCGATGTTGCCAAATTTCTTTAAATTTTAAACACCGTGAAAATTGTATCTGTTGCGTGAGTCACAGAATACAATTTCATAGGTATAGAATTCGCTAGGTAAAATACAGTAGGTCAGAAAAGCTATTTTATATTTCTAATAAAAATGGCTTCGACTGCAAGAGTTTAAAAAATTAAGGTGAACTCTATTTTGTATAAAGCAAGATTTTGTTTTTAAGTTTCTTGTAGCAAAATTTGCGTACAAACGGGGAAAGATTCTTTCGTCGGTCCATCGAGAATTTCTGAAAAATTTTCGAAACTATTATTCGTACCATCTAATCGATTGTACGAAAAAAAACGATTTGTCAGAATGTGAAATTCGAACGATTGAATTTTGGCCGAAACAGGTGCTCCAGCCCAGCGTGTAACGCGCGAGCGAGCGTGCACTGTCTGCGAAACGCAGTTGATAGTTGGATAGATTTAAGACGTTTGTTAAATGTCGCATCCGGCAGCATTCCGTTGCGCGGCGAGTAACGAGAGAAGCGAACGAATCACAAGTAATACACACCGTTTCTGAGGATCTGTCGTGATTTTCAATTTGGTGCACGTTTCCTAGACCTTTCTACGTTCGATATACTACAGACTGCAAGGGAGACGCGTTGCGCCGTGGATGCGTTTGAATTTTCCCGCCGATACACTGCACTTCTTCAAAGGAATCAGCGCGTCAACGAACTCTTACGAGATCCAAGCCGCGGCCGTTCAAAGTAATTATGCAAATCGGTTACCTTGTGCAGGGGTCCTGGCTTTCGCCCCCAAACGGCGGATGGGTCCCAGGGTGGGAATACGGCGCGACGTACATGTTACACGATGCGAACGTCGCGCGATTACAGCGCCAACTGCCGTGCCTCGTAATAACTAGCGTCGCTGAGTCACGTCAACGTTCCCTCGCGTCTTCATAGTCGCATAGTAGCAACTTAAAGTCATTTAATTATTTAATTGTTGAGTTGTTCAAATTCTGCTAATTTCCATGTAGTGTGGTAATAATTCTGTGTCTGCAGTTGCAACGATTTCACGGGGCTAAGTTAAATAATTATTGCACTGTTCAACGCGCATAATGTGCTTGAAACAAAAGAAAATGGTACAATGCATCGTGTAACATGTATGTCGCCTGGTATCTCCACCCTGGGACCGTCCGCCATCTTGTAGCGAAATCTTGGACCCCCGATCTTCAGCACCTTGGATCACATATACTACTGGACACGGCTTGTGTATAGTGCGTGTACAGAAAAGCCAAGTGTTCAATTATACATAGATGACTCATGAAAGATAGTTCACTGTGATGTCATGTAGATGCTTCGTCTTGACTTTAGGCAAACTATCCGCAGCCGTGTCTATAATTATATATGGTCTAAGCTAAGCTAAGCACCGTTGCCGTGAATTCCTTCGATTGCCTTGCGACGTCCATCGGTGACGTCACGGGCAAGCAATTCAGCAGAGTGGGGGTAGATGGCAGTATAGTCGACCGACGCGACGCGACCAATCACAAACGCGGAAGCATCCCTTGTGACTCTGCTCAACTACTCGTTAGTGATGTCACCGATGGAGTCACGTGACATTTTAGGAAATTCACAGCAATAATTTAGAGCGCTTGCATGGTCCAATAACGACCTTTGACGTGGCCATGGTGTTATCGGTCGGCCAGAAACGAAACGGCTTGGATCTCATGAATATAGAGTGGCGGTCATCATGCCGGATATAACTCGCACGATCCCTAATCGTATCCAGCACGATCGGAGTGTACGATGATCGCGTCGCACAGGGTTTGCCGCAACGGAATGATCGCGGATCATAGAGTTTATCAAGGCGAGAGATATCCAGAAAGTGTACTCCATAGAGAGATCTTTCGAGTATTTTTGAAATCCGACTGGTCGACCAAAGACAAAACCAAAGTTCTGATATACACGTATATATACACAGATATATACATATATATATTATACATATTCGTTATGGAACTTAGGGAGACGTACTTGCTCGTTGTCGCTCGGATGTCCTCGGCCTTTGCTTTCGAGGATTTACAGTTTTACAGGCCAACGGAGTTGCGTCATTTTTTGCATTCGTAATTTTACATTTTCGTTCGAATTTGAAAGCGTTTGAACAAGTTCAAATGCTTCTATAAGAAATCTTGTCATTTGGATTTTTGGATTGCGAAAGATGTGGTTCTGATTTTTAGTCAGTTTATAGCCATTCCTATGGCCATGTCTACTTAATTAAATCAGAGTTAGTTCGAATGTACAAAATTCTTGATATAGCAGTAGTTTCTATAAGAAATCTTGTCTTCTGTATTTTTGCATTGTGAAAGATGTTATTCTAATTTTTGGTCAAAGTTCAAGGTACAGCTGTATTTTTACATTGCGAAGGATGTGCAGATTTCTGGACAGTTTATAGCCATTCCTACAGCTCTCTCTACTTGTCTAACCCTATCAAACTCAACGTTAGTAATTTAAATAACATTGCTTAAAGACCTAAAGGTCAATCTCAAAGGTTCCACACTGACATATTTGTCAACGCCTGTCCACTAGACCCAAGAGTCACGCTTTCAGACCTAACCTAAAACTGAAGTGCCACTAATTTGCATCTCTGAAAAACCTTAAGCGAAAGTTCATTCATTACCATAACCTTGATCCGTTCGAGTATAAATCTCGATGGAATATACATGGGATAAGAATGGTGTCAACGACGGAATCGAGGATCAAGGATTTTCGAGCGGCAGCGTTCAATGTTATCAGGACGGGTCGGTCGATCGTCGTTATGGTCCCAGTGACGAAACATTATGGTTCCGCTGGCCTGGACCGAGCGGAGGCGTCTCTAAAATTACGATATGGTCGTTGCGTGAATCTTTGCGCGCGGTTACATAATCGACACGGTTTCCGTCTGGGTCAGGATTGTCGTTCAAGGCCACCGGCGGACCGATCGAAGGACCGCCGTTGATTCGAGCGCTGTCGGAGATCGGATCCGACGCATCCCGAAGAATCGACGGCGTCTCGTTTACCAGCTTACATCCTTGAAACGGTGAAACGCGTTTCACGATTCTCCGGGAAACACCGGTCCGGCGACATTCGTTCCCGAAGGCCCGTTGTCGTTCCGTGACGCAGCGGGTAACTACTTCACGGTCGAATCGAAACGGAAAAATCGCCGGCAAAGTTGCGCAACATGTACATTCAACGGAGAACATCGAAGAATTTTCTAAAAATCTTGTATCGACACGTCGATCACTGGCTCGTTCTGCGTCCACGTACAGGGTGTACGAAAACGTTTTGGTCGCTGGCGATTTGTTAAAAGCACTTACCACAACACTCGCCTCGAGCGTATCTCTGAAGGTCAAACGGTATTTCTTGTTGGATCGTGTCTTACGCGCTGTGGGAATAAAAAGTGCGAACGGAAGCATGGGTCGTGGGTGACCCGTGGAGAAATTGTTCAAAGTTTCGTTGACCTTCAACTGACGGCGTACGTCGACTTTGACATATTATCACTTTGCAAATCAAACTATAACATATTTGGTCTTCACTTAAAGGTTAACTGTCGCAAAGCGGTGGCCGGGTCTATTTCGACCCGGAGTATTCAAATCGTTCGCTCAATTTCCAGCAATTAAATGGAATAAATTGCTGTTACATTAGGGACAACGGAAAGGCTATTAAGTATGCAGGAAATATCTCCGAAAATGTGTTTTGAAACATTGCTGAACGATGCTCGAAATTGTTGTAAACATTGTCTACAGTATAGTTGTAAAAATGATCCGCCGTCTGTGGGTCGATCGTTCCTATGGTTTTACTCGTATCTCGCGAGGGTCATTTGTGACTCATTCGAACGATCACCGCAAGTCTCCAATAGAAATGGCTCGACCTTGGAGACTTCGTTCAAGGTCGACTTTGTGGCAAGCCTTTCTAATGAATCTCCGCCGATGGGGACGTTTCCGTAGACCCTGTTTATGTATATGAACTATAAATATATACAGTGATATACAGGTATACATAATAGCATATATACACACATACGTATATACATATACATATATATATTATACAATGAAGTTATGAAGTGTTTTAGAGACATCCGTGTTGCATCTCAGGTGGTGCTTCTTCCGGCACAGAGGGAACGCGATGGATTCGAGTTGTATCTTTTTGATAGTTCTCATTTTTTTTTCGATATGATTTCGACTGGGCTCGCCACGCCGTGGAACGAGCCCTTGCCAATTCGACTTACGATTATCGTTGATTATTAGACTGCGGATTTTATGCGTTCATCACGAGAACGATTTCAATTTTCGACAAGCGTCAAAGAAAGAGGGGAGTTAGTAAACGGCTCCTGTGACGTGCAATAAATTTTCATTTTGCGTGAAGATCCGCAGTCTGTTGATTACAGTCTTCCTCCGACGAGACATTGTCATCGATATTTTTACGTTAGGAAATTGTTCTGATTTCGCGCGATGTTCATACCCATTCCTACGGTCACGTCTACTTAATGAAATCAATGTTGGTTCGAATCTACAAAGATCAAAATACACTAGTAATTTCTGCAAGCAATCTTGTCTTTTGCATTTTTACATTGCGAAAAATATTGTTCTGATCTTTCGTCAGTTTATAGACATTCCTACTGCTATGTCTGCCAAAGTAAATCGAAGATAATACGAATCTATAAATTTTCAGAGGGTAACAATAATAATTTTTATCATCAATCTTGCTTCCCATATTTTTCCATTGTCAAATGAATTGTTCTGATTTTCTGTCGGTTTATAGACACACTCCTAAAGCTCTACTTAATTAAATTAAAATCGATTGAAACCGACAAACTTCAAGACACAGAAGTAATTCCTAGAACAAATCTCTTCCTTTCTATTTTTGCATAACGATATTGTTCTGATTTCGTGCGAAGTTTACAGTCATTGCTATGACAGCCAACGCTGTGACAGCTATGTTAGCTACTGAATGGTATCCAAAGACAGTGTCTCGTTCAAGGAGTGCATAGTAGATTCGGTTCACTGTAAACGCATTTTCTTCGATCGAGCTTGCGCATATCGACGCAGACTGACTCTGTGATGCATCCGTCGCTCAAAATCTCGATCGTTAGCTGGCGATTATCGAAACACCAACTTCGAAAATCGATTACACAGTTGCGCGTCGCGATCCAAGCGATATCTCGTTCGAGAGGATTGGTAATTTGTTTTGCGGCTTAATTGAGCAGCGATAGTACCGTGTGTCGGTAATACCTCGCAGGAATCCCTGATTTATCAGCAGCCGGTAACACGTCCTCGCTTTACCATCAATTCTTGCTGCCAGATTCCGATTGTTTCATGTGACTCGCCACTTGGGTAGCGTTACTGGCTAATTCTAAAATCGAAATGAAATCAAAAGTTGTTACGCGCGCACGAAAATCAAAAGCCGGAGACGAGTGCCGCACAATTTCCGCGTTCGCTGTCACCGTTCTAAGAATCCTGATTAGGCTTGTTGTAATGTTAACCATCGCTGGATCCGTTCGAATTCTTACGCATCGATTTTATTATTATTATTATTACTATTATTTATGAATTAAATAGTCAAAATGCCCGTTAGATTATTGAATATAGTATATACAGTGATTTAAATCGAAAATATATTGTGCAAATTGTGGGAATCAGAAAAAAAATTGATGTTGTAGGAGTTTTTATAGGATATTTATTTATTTAAGATCACAGAGCTGATCTTTTTGTCGAGCAATTTCGGCTGCTAGAAAAACAACATCTAGATGGGAAATATGGAACTCCGGGTCAAAAAGGACCCAAGTTCCGCTGATCAATGTGTAAATAAAAATTGATGTGCAATCGACGTTGGTATAAATAATTTATAAAAATGTATCTTGCTTAAAGTCATACGTGCTAATTCTTTCTATCTTTTTGTTCAAATTATTTTGCAATTTTACGATTTCGTGGTTAGAACGCGCTTTGTTCTCTTGCGAGTGAAAGTATTTTGAACTTCGACAGCGAACGAGTCGCCAGTTATGGTCGTGAGGGACACGGTGTTACCTGATAGCAGCAACATGATATTGTATAACATAATCGAAACGGGAGACAGATGAATATTTTTGTGAAATTCCTAAGCCGAGAACAAAAGATACGGCTATCATGTTGACGAACTGCATCCATATGCAATATTTCCTCGTAGACTATCTGTAAGCATAGTTATTTTTCAATGTAAAACGACTGTGTAGCTGTACGTTAGGCAAATACATATATACATATACATATACATATATATACATACATATATTTTAGGTACGAGAAAGAGGGAGAGTGGGGAGGCAGTGAGAATGAGAGAAAAAAGAATGGTTGAAGGAGAAGAGAGAAGAAGTCTTGTTATTTCTTTTACCCAGTTCCTCGTTGTTCCTCCGGCCGTCCAAATCATGCGCGCAAGAATTAATTGCACCCAGTTAATTACAGTCAGTTCTCGTTCAGTCACCCTCTAGATTCTCTGCTTCCGCCGTAAGAAAGAACATCGCGCGGTAAATTGAAACGAGATCGTCCGATTTACATTGAAATCTCTTTCATTTGTCTAGATTCTGAAATTTGTTATTTCGCATGAAAATCCTCGCATTAACGATTTTGTGCGTTTATAATAATAATGATTAGGTATAATAAATAAGGAAAGAAAAATTAGGAACAGTCACTGGTACAATATTTACACAATTGTTTGTATAATATATATTTACAATCTATTGAAATTATTAACTGATGAAATGATTTTTTATTTGACTACTGGTTCTTGCAATTGATTAACCTAAAATAACATTATTATGATTTTCATGTTGTTCTTGTAATGTAGCATCCCCTATTTCAGTGAATTTAATTAGGGATATTATAACATTAATATACATCTGTAACATAAACAAACTAAACTGCAAATTATTAAAACTCTGTTTAAAACTCTTTTTGAATGAAATTTTATTCGAAGAGTTAATGCGAAATATTTTTTGAATAAAATTTTATTCGAAGAATTTACTCGAAATATTTATTGAGCGAAATTTTGTTCAGCGTTTATTATAATTCATATAATTAATTCTAAGAGAAAATTCAAGCCTATCCTGAGATATTTAACCTTATAATTACATTGCAGATTTTATGTATTTATGATATAAATTGTGTGATATAAATACAAATACAAAACAGTTGAAACATTGTGGCAGCTATTTCTAACTTTCTCCAGCAGATGGCTACCGATCGGTACCTATACTAATGACTATACCGATCGGCGACGAATCAGGTAGCAACGGGTAAGGTAGCCATCTGTTGGCGAGAGTTAGAAGTCACCGCTACAGTACTTAATAAATTTTAATACCGTTGTTACGTTATTTCTAACTCAATAAAATAATTTATAAAAGAAGTATCTATCCAGTTTTTACATCTTGCAATAAATGCAGACAATTTTTAGTTTGCATAAAAATCTACAGTCCACTTATAAAACATCCTTATTTAATTTTTGATTTACTACCATAGTCCTGAATAAATTAAGAAAAAATATACCACCATTAAGAAAAAATTATTTCCCATTTTAATATCTGAGCTAGACAACTTTATTTTCATAAAACACTACAAAATTTTTTTACAATACCTTCTCAATGTTACAACTGTTATAAACTTTAGATCGTTTCTAGATATGTAAAATGATTAAAGACACAATTAAATAATTGAAATACACTTACCGACAAGTATCAAAGTATATTGCAAATTTGGTGCTTTATTACCAGTCAGAATTTCTCATTACATATCAATGCAAACGAAGTAATATATTATAATTACATTTATATTATATATTTTAATTATATATAATATTATATATAATATAATTTATATTATATAATATAAATAATTTAATTATTTATATATATATTCTGAAAAATGACGTCATCTCAAACAAAAATTTTCCTGAATACAGAAAATGACGAATTCGATTTTTGTCACAGGACCTCACCGTGCAGTAAAAAAAAATCATAGTACTTCTTCCATCGGCACCATTTCCTTTCCGCGACACTTCCGGCGGCGTTTGACATCGACTCGGCAGAAACTTTTCGCGACCGGCGTTACGGGCGCTCCATTAACAACGATATTGTTCAAGTTTCGCGCGGCCGTTGCCGTTTTACTGCCCGGGCGAAACGTCAGGCTCGCCGGCTCGCCTCCTTTCTCCTATTGGCGGCTCGATAATTAATCGTAATTACGGTTCGGCGTCGACGTCAAATTACGGCAACCCGTCGCCATCGCCGCCCGTTGTTGATAAATTTTAATGGACCGGCGAAGTTCGCCGTTCTACGGCACCAACAGCCAAGAAACAATTTTCGGGCGCCGACTGATTGGCTGCGATTCTAAACGATGAGGAAAATAACTGTTTTTTCGAGTCATTCACTTTTACGATTCCTCGTCGATTTCCATCACCTTCAATTTCAACTCGTTTATCATAACTTTATGTGAACTTACGTAGAATGTCAAGTTTTAATGTATTTATTTTATTCGACTTTATATAAAATTACAGAGAATTTCAATTTTTATTAGAAGTTCATATAACATTACGAACAATTTCAGTTTTCATTATCAGTTTATATTAAATCATATAAAAAAATTCAATTTTCTTATACTTTTGTATAAAAATACAATGAAAGTGCAATTTTTATTAGAAATTTATATTAGAAATTTAGATAAAATTATATAAAAGTTACAATTTTAATTACAAGTTTATATAAAAAATCAATCTGTATTACAAGTCTATATAAAATTGTATAAAAATTCAATTTTAATTACAAGTTCATACAAAATTATGTAAAAATTCGATTGTTATTACAAGTCTATATAAAATTGTATAAAAATTCAATTTTAATTACAAGTTCATACAAAATTATGTAAAAATTCGATTGTTATTACAAGTCTATATAAAATTGTATAAAAATTCAATTTTAATTACAAGTTCATACAAAATTATGTAAAAATTCGATTGTTATTACAAGTCTATATAAAATTGTATAAAAATTCAATTTTAATTACAAGTTCATACAAAATTATGTAAAAATTCGATTGTTATTACAAGTCTATATAAAATTGTATAAAAATTCAATTTTAATTACAAGTTCATACAAAATTATGTAAAAATTCGATTGTTATTACAAGTCTATATAAAATTGTATAAAAATTCAATTTTAATTACAAGTTCATACAAAATTATGTAAAAATTCGATTGTTATTACAAGTCTATATAAAATTGTATAAAAATTCAATTTTAATTACAAGTTCATACAAAATTATGTAAAAATTCGATTGTTATTACAAGTCTATATAAAATTGTATAAAAATTCAATTTTAATTACAAGTTCATACAAAATTATGTAAAAATTCGATTGTTATTACAAGTCTATATAAAATTGTATAAAAATTCAATTTTAATTACAAGTTCATACAAAATTATGTAAAAATTCGATTGTTATTACAAGTCTATATAAAATTGTATAAAAATTCAATTTTAATTACAAGTTCATACAAAATTATGTAAAAATTCGATTGTTATTACAAGTCTATATAAAATTGTATAAAAATTCAATTTTAATTACAAGTTCATACAAAATTATGTAAAAATTCGATTGTTATTACAAGTCTATATAAAATTGTATAAAAATTCAATTTTAATTACAAGTTCATACAAAATTATGTAAAAATTCGATTGTTATTACAAGTCTATATAAAATTGTATAAAAATTCAATTTTAATTACAAGTTCATACAAAATTATGTAAAAATTCGATTGTTATTACAAGTCTATATAAAATTGTATAAAAATTCAATTTTAATTACAAGTTCATACAAAATTATGTAAAAATTCGATTGTTATTACAAGTCTATATAAAATTGTATAAAAATTCAATTTTAATTACAAGTTCATACAAAATTATGTAAAAATTCGATTGTTATTACAAGTCTATATAAAATTGTATAAAAATTCAATTTTAATTACAAGTTCATACAAAATTATGTAAAAATTCGATTGTTATTACAAGTCTATATAAAATTGTATAAAAATTCAATTTTAATTACAAGTTCATACAAAATTATGTAAAAATTCGATTGTTATTACAAGTCTATATAAAATTGTATAAAAATTCAATTTTAATTACAAGTTCATACAAAATTATGTAAAAATTCGATTGTTATTACAAGTCTATATAAAATTGTATAAAAATTCAATTTTAATTACAAGTTCATACAAAATTATGTAAAAATTCGATTGTTATTACAAGTCTATATAAAATTGTATAAAAATTCAATTTTAATTACAAGTTCATACAAAATTATGTAAAAATTCGATTGTTATTACAAGTCTATATAAAATCATATAAAAACTTAATTTAAATTACACGTTCATATAAAATTATATAAAAATTCAATTACTATTACAAGGCTATATAAAATTATATAAAAATTCAATTTTAATTACAAGTTCTTACAAAATTATATAAAAATTCAATTATCATTATTACAAGTCTATATAAAATTATATAAAAATTGAATTTTTATTATAAATTTATGTAAAATTATATAAAAATTGAATTTTTATTATAAATTTATGTAAAATTGTAGAAAAATTGAATTTTTATTATAAATTTATGTAAAATTGTAGAAAAATTCAATTTTTATTATAAATTTATGTAAAATTATATAAAAATTCAATTTTTATTATAAATTTATGTAAAATTGTAGAAAAATTCCATTTTTATTATAAATTCATAAAAAATTATATAAACCGAAATTTCGTACCGGAAATTGCACTCCCCTAATAATTATCGTACTTTACGTGAGAAAACCGAACGGCGAAGTCTGCCACACAGCTTTCTCCCTAAATATCGGAGTTTTTCCGGATCGTTGGACGCTCCGAGAATCGAATTACGCGGCGATCTTTCGCGCAGCCGAGCGGCACGATAATAGGTCAATCTCGAATTCACTGAACAGCCTGAATGAAGCTCAAACTACGGGACACCCTCTCCGTGTCCTTCGGGGTTCCATTCGGATGGTGCAGCGCCGAGATTGTTCTCGGTTTTTCGCGGTTTCCCCGCGACCAGCCGGCCGACTGACTGATCGACTGCTGCCAGAAAAGTCACCGCGCGGAACAGAGATTACCGGCGACCAGAATGAGGCGATTAAACGGCAGTCTGGGAGCACTGCGGACCCTCTCAGCTTTTGACGTTGCACGATTCACTATTTTCAGCCGGACATTATT